AGTCATCAGTTACCCAGTATTGCTCAGAAAGATCAACTTATTCCTAGTATCCTCAGCATCAGCAGTCAGATGCTTTTGCTTTTTGATGTTAACCAGCTATCATCCACTCCATAAACCAGGCAGTGGCTACCAACAGTTTGCACCTCATTTTCCTGCTTCTCAGACTCAGGGTCACAATTCTCATTCTGTTTTATTAAGAGAAATTTTCCGTGGACGCTGCCTGCTTTTAAGACTCCAGGCATTTCGAGGCATTTGAGGTTGCTTGACTCACAAGAGATCTGGATACATGGTAGATTTTCATGGCAAGCTCGCAGCAATATAAATGATTGCTCAGGCTGTTTAAACAAAGTACTCTAGAAAAAAAATCATACTTTGGTTGCTTCATGAGGGAGTCTTGGATACCTCTAGCAATTTGGAGAGCCCCCAGGTCTCCATGACCAGCAAGTAGAGTGATCTCTTTACAGTAATTGTCCCTTGCAGCCATTCTCATTGCCATTGTCCACAGTAAAGCAGGACAGCCAGGCTCTGCAGGTGGGGGAAGGAATGAAGAAAAGACTGCAGAAGGGATCCCTGCAGTGCCTCCTACTGCTGACATGCCTGAATTTGCTGGGTACTTTTCCCAGGATCCACTTTTTTAATTAAAGTTCTTCTTCCTTGTGACTGATTCAGTGCCTATTCACCTTTGTCTGCTCATGGTCTCATTGGACTTTGGGTCACAGCAACCCCTGCAGGTTAGACTACCTATTCTTCAAAGGATACAGAAACAGAAGACACAGAAGCACTTTTTAAAATTATCTCGGAGTGTGTATAATTCTCATTTCCTAACAGATTTCCATCAACACAGTTTGAAATCCCTGTTGCTTTTTATTTTTTTCAGAATGCAAATCTGAGTAAGAAGTCAGTCACTTCTTTTTATACTTCTTTTCTCTCAAATGAAAAAATAATATCTTTAAAGAACTGTAACATAAGATGAAGGAACTGCAAATACGACTTGTTATAAAGAAATTGAAACGTTTCATTTTGTAGAAAAACAGAGCGACTTTCCTATTTCTAATCACTTTTTGTCAACATTGATCCAAAAATCAGCCGCATTTATCTTTTTCCCATTTATCTTTGACACTAACAATTGTCAGTGTCATGGGGAGAGACCATTTGGGTCATGAAATACCTTTCAAGTTAATGCTAGAGGCAATGAGAACAGCATGTGAGTAGATACGTCTAGTGCAGTTGCTCTGTAAAAAGCACTGGATTCCTCCTGAGGTTGTTAAGAGTAACCATAAAATTTGGGTGTTAAAAAAAAGGCAAAACAGGGAGATACAACCTAGTAGCTTTCATATTTAACCACATTTGACCAAAGTGGAAGTGAAAGCTGTCTTACAGCAACCGATCAATCTCCCACACTGTATTTATGCAATATGCCAATGCTTCTTCTAAGCAAAAAGAATCGCACCAAGATCCAGGGTCTCTCCAGCCCTTGCTGGATGAAGTGAGGACCATAGCAATGACTTCAGGGGCAGCACAAAGCCAATGTGTGGGGAGGTGCCTCCATGCACCACTGACTATCACCTTCCACAGACACTTCGCCTTCAGCATGGGTGAAGCATTGCATTGCCAGAACTTGCTTTGAGTGGAGATGTGGATCGTCTCAACCTTTTACCTCTGTCTTGATTAGGGATTTGGGGGAATTGCATTGGCACAACCTCCAAAATGCCTTTTATCCAAAATCCTTTCCCTTTAAGATGTGCGACCAAAATGCAATCAGCGGACAAGGGATACACAAGGATGATGAAGGTCTCCACTTGGCCTTGATTGCAAGTGCACAGCAGGTCTTACCCCAGGTTTGGATTTGGTCATTCCCCCATCCTCTCGCCCATCTGATAAAGAAGCCTGTGCAGCCACCCTGGCACTAGGCAGGAGCTGATGAACATTTCCCCCCATCCCCGATAAGCCCAGGAACGTGTCGGCCCAGAGCAATGGTTCTGTCCCTTTGAATTATTGGCAGAGCAGCCTCTGTAGCTTCCAGCTCCCGTCCCAGCCTTTCCTGGCTCTCTGAGGCTCCAGGCCCCTGGCCAGCTCCAGTGCATTTTACACTTGGATCACACAGTCCTCTTCAGATTTTGCTTCTTTTCTGTGCCTGCCGAGGCTTTGTCCCCTGCCCACAAGGACTGCGAGACCTCACAGCAAGGCCAGAAAACAATGTCCAAGCTGAAGCGTGAGCCTGGTGGCTGTTTTCCACATATTGTTCAAGTGGCTGAGACCAAATCCGAGCCCTTTCCATAGGGAGGGAAGGGAAAAGGGCACTGATTCCCAGGGTGCCCCTTGCCAAGAAGAGAAGATTTTATTTTATCTCCCAACATGCTGGCCAGAACTCAGCCTGGCTCATTACGTCTAACCTACTCAATCCTTGGCATAATAATGTTTGTTGTTGTTTTATTCTATCTTCCTTTCTTACCAATTCCTAATGTTCAATGTCAATTTTGTATCACTGTCAAATAATTATCACCACACTTATGTCTTGTTCCTTAGTGACAAGTCAGATTGGAGACCCTTGTTGTAGCTGTGAACTCTTTTTTTTTTTTCCATTTCCCTCTCTAAACAGAATTGCATCTGCTGTCAATTAGTGGCTCAAAAGAGGCCCGATATAGAAATGATTATGAGGTTTGCTAATTGCATTGAGTGTACGTGTTTCCAACTGGGTGCATCTTCACACCATGAAGGAGAGACTGAAGGTCAGGGTTGTGGTGGTATCAAGGGACTATTAAAAGAGAGATTGGTTGGAAAAACCACCTGATGCCAAAGGTGGCCATAAATAGTGTCATCAAAGAAGTACTTTCATATGAGAGAAGAAGTGGAATTATTTATGAGGTTCACTCATATAATCATTTGTTCATCCTTCTGTTAAATAATGCAGCCCTGGACATCGCTAACTTTGAAAAATGTGACTTGTGATACCATGGTAATTATGGGAGAAAACAAAATATTTGTCATTAAAAGTGGCTGGCCTGACTGAGCTTTTTATTCTTTTCCTTGCAGATGACTTTTAATTCCATTTCAATTTTTGCTCACCTTGTGCTATGTTTGTGTGCTGTATCATTTCATGACAGATAAATGGCCTGTAAAAATGCTATAGGTAAAGTTTCACTTTAGGAAACCTCAAATTTATTTCATGAAAACATATATAGAGAAGGAAAAGGTTTCAGTTCTTAGAAACAGTGTCTCTTCAATAATATCTAAAATAGATAATGGAATATATTAGCAATTTCATTACCTTTTCTATTCTATTAATAGTAATTGGCATTGTGCTATATCATAGATTAATGTAAGAATAATATCAACGACATAAGAAAAACTTCATGTTGTGCAGTTCAATGAACACTGCAGTTAGAGAATTCAAGTACCAAAGTGTTTTACCTTTTTATGAACAATACTTTTCCAAAACTCGATTTTTAAAGCAATTCTCTTTTCTAGGTATTTTTTAAAGTTTTTTTTTATTTTTTTCTCATCTAGAATTAAAAAGGAAATAATTTCAGAATGTTTACATCTCTCTTCCATTGAGGAAAGGATATTGTTTAGCTATTTCCAGCATTGGCTGCTACCCAACTGCTTCACCCAGAGCCTTCTCCTTGAGTGCAGGTGCCAGATGGGGAGTGTGAGGACATCTTCAAACACAGAGCTTATATAAAAAGCGTAAAAAGTCTGGAAAATCAGTAGTTTCAGTGGGTGCTAGAAGACATCCCAGTTGTACTCATACCTTTCCAATCAACATAGCAATGTGGAGGCAGGTTTAATCACAGATTTTCTCCTTGTTAGGAAGGCACAGGAGCATAACTCAAGGCAAGAGGATAAGCACATCTAGATATGCCTAGAGGTAGATGTCTACCTAGAGATAGATATCTAGGCAGTTTCCTTTGGAGTATCCTACAGTGAAACCATGACATTGCAGTCCATTGGGCAGCTCCATCTTCCTTCAGTTACTACCTAGAACACCAGCACAAGGTTTGGAGCAACCTGGGCTGCATGGACCTCCATGCGTGTCTGCTCGCCTTCTCCCCATCTTCCTCAGCGCATCCCATCATCACCACCTCCCCTCTCTGCAAGTCTTGCCTTCTCCCTGGAAGAGTGGTTCAGGAGAACTTGGTGCTGCTGCTGCATGCAGGGAACCTTTTCTCACTCATACTGAGTATTTGTGGGGATAATTAAGTGTGAAAAGCATCACACCTAGTGGCCAGAAAAGGCTTCGTGGAGCAGCTCATTTAAAATCTTTGCATGGAATCCCCTTCTCGTAGGCACTTAAGAATACCCTTGTTTTACAAGGTCCCAGCTCTCCCCTGTGTTTTACCTCGGTGTTCGCCAGCAGAAACATTGGAAGCTGTTCTCCAACTTGATATCCATGGTGCTACACCTATGGGAAGTGAGGCTCACAGCAGTTGATAGAGCCTTGAAGGCTTGATTTGGATTTGATGGAAATGCTTTCAATTGCAGAGCTGACGATCTAGCTCTTCTATTAGGATGGATTGACTCACAGATTACATAGCATGTTTTGTTATAATTTTGTAGCATATAAATAGCTGTGGTACAGGGTGAATATATTTGCATTGCTATAGTCAGTGTGCCTTAAAAAAGGCCTCCTCGTAATCTAAATTTCTTTGAGGGACTTTTATGTGGAAAGAGCGAGGAGAAAAAAGGAATTAAATTCTCATAGTGGTTTTCAAATTTTCAGGGGAAATGCAAGTTGCAAAAAACATCATCTGAAAACTGAAATATCTAGGCATTGGGCATTAGAGGCAGCAATGAAATATATATATATATATATTTCCTTACTGAAAATAGACAATTTACACACCAAATGCAATTTTCACTGAAACCTCTATTTTCCTTTCACCAGGAAATGGGTAAAGAAGCTTGAGAGTTGGGCGGAGGGAAAAAGGTATTTGTTGCACAGACACTAACCTATTTCTTTCTATCTTTTTTTCCCTTTTTCTCCCTTCTTCCTCCTGCAGCAAGAGAAACAGCAGACACCAAACAAGAGACCCTGGGAAGGAATCAGGAAAGTCCAGTCTCCGCCGTCATGGGTTAAAAAGGACATGGAACCTGTGGCACAATCTCCCTTAGAACTCAAAACTGTGGAGTGGGAGAAAACAGGGGCCACCATCCCGTTGGTGGGACAAGACATTATTGACCTTCAGACGGAGGTCTGAGTGAAAAAGAGAGAAAGGGACTATTATTTTTTTTTTTCCGGAAAACAAGCAAACAAAAAAAAAATTAAAACAAACACAAAAAAAAAACACAAAAGAAAACACACAAAAAAAAGATTAAATTAAATGGAAACCGAGTGAGAGAAGTGTTTGGTTTCTTTTGAAACCTTTGGTAAAACGCAGTAACTTTTGTATCGTTCTCAGCAGAGAGAGGAGGAATATTACTTTATAGAATATAGTAGCTGTAGGTTCAGACCAACATGATCTTTCCCAGGTAGGACTGGAGAGGGAGCGAGCCTGGAAAAGAGCCAGGAGGCGGGGAGGGCTGCCGGGAATGGGCCCGTAGAGTGGCCATGGATGCCAGAGGCACCTCATGGCAGAAGGTTCATGAACATCGGTTTGGGCTGCAAGGAGATGGAGATGGACCCAGCAGGACCTTCTCTGGACATTCTTCAGCCATAGGTCCCGGGTGAAATGCATCCTTGTCCGGACCAGAGCATCCCTTGCGCATTGTGGGCTCAAGAGCGCAAGATCATCTTCACCCCATAACCACAACGGAGACTTGCCCAGGGCACCTTGACGGAGAAGCATCTTCTGCATCACTCAACACATCCCAGCACCCCAGGGACCAGCTCGCAGGGTGCCCTGAGGACACAAAGTTGACAGACCCGTGGCCCATCGCAGAGGTAAGATGGGGCATCTCCCCTCTCATCGCGGGTGTCACATGCAGGAGGACTGGACACCTCCAATGCCTGCTCGCCCCATCTCCAGGGAGAGGGTTGAAGGCATCACAGGAAAAAACAGACCAACAAGAAGAATGTAGGTCATTTCATTGACTGTTAAATAGATAAACTCAGCAGGGGCCTCGGCAAAGGTCCATTTGGCCACATCCTTTTTTTTTGTTCTCTTTCCCATGCTTTCGGACTCGAACTTATTCCAAGCCACCCCTCCAAGGAAGCCAGAGAGAAAGAGGGAAAGACACATCCTCTTATGTACCTGGAGATATTTGGTATACAGAGAATATTGCCTTAGGACATTGAGACAAACTGACAACATGAATAACGTCCACTTGGAAACAAAACAAACAAACAAAAAAATCTATTTTTTTCCTTCTTCTTTTCTTTTCTTCAATAAAAAGAGAACTTGAAACCCGAGACCTTTCTTTTCTTTGGCTCTTGTCGTTTTCAAATGCCTTCCCGTGCCGTTGGACGGTGCAGGCATGGGGTGAGGATGCCACCTGCTGAAGGTGGGATGCAAGTTGCTCCGTGGAAAATATGGGATGGTGGGAACATCTGGCCCCTTGGTCTGTGGCTTGCAAGATTTTGGCTTTGTTTTATTCAATCCGGGCTTCAGTCACTTTCCCCTCCCTGGTTCCTGCCCTCCCTCCCGGTGGTCAGGCAAGTGTATGGTCCTAGCAGAAGGAAACAGGTCAAGCTGGTCAGGAAAGTGTGACATCCATCATTAAGAAAAAATCATCTCTTTATTTTGCTATGAAAAAACAATTAAAAAGTCACTAGACATTTTTCAAGGCTATTTCCAAAAACAAACAAAAAGGTTATCTACATCATTTCACCCCACAAAAAGCATTGTGCAATATTTTTATCATTAAAATAATTCATCACATTCCACATATATTTTTCCTTTTCTTTTGTCATTCCCAACTATCTCTGTCTCTCATTTGAAGTAATTACCCTGTCTTTGGAAATGTGCAGTGCCAAACATCTAATTGTGCGGGGCCTGATTTGTGCTGAACAACAGTTATTCTTGATCAGGGTCTGAGTTATAAAGGTGGTGGTAGGGTTTCCTTTTTATATAACATTTTTACAAAAAAAGCTCATAATCAATATGAAGAGGCAAAATACTCACCCCAAATGTGCTTCCCCCCGCCCCTGCCCCAGGAAGATGTTGCTTGGCAGGCAAACATGTCTTCTTCACCTTTTTTTCGGGATGCCTGGGTTATTTATCCATAATGATAATGGCATTTACCCTGCCGTTAAGTGTATAATGTGAAAGATGGCAAGAAATACTTAAAAAAAAATCCAAATAGTTAAAAACTAAGGAGAATGATTACTTATAAAAACTGTGATATTATTGTCCAATTTTAGATTATTCTATGAAAAAGGAAAGCACAAAGGCCTCCCTCAGATGCCGGGTTGTATGATATTGTAATTATTATAATTACACATAATGAATTTTAGCATACAGATATCTTTCTACTGTATTTTAATTCTTTTTTTTCTTTTTCTCCCCTTCTTCCCTGCCCAAACAAGCCTGCCCTTCTTCTTCCAGACCTTTCCCATTCACCCATCCACTCCGGCCAACTTGCAGGACATTAACGGTGTTATGTAATTTTGGAGAAAAATGTTTGTTTAATAATTGTTGATATTCTACTTCTTTTCTGCTCAGCTCCTCTGGTTAACGCTGTTTCCCCCCATCCCTGCCCTGCTTTGCCCCACTCCACGCCTTCCCCTCCCTTTTTCTCTCTTGTGTCCATCAGTTCTTCTCTTTTTTTAATTTTTTAATTTTTTTTCCTGTACAGTTTTCAGAGCACAAATGAATGTGTCTTATTTCTAATAAAAGAGGTGTAAACGCTAGTTCCTGTCTGCTTTTTAAAAGCGATCTGCTCCCTGTGCAGCCGGTGAGTTGCAGAGGAGGGTCCATGGGAGGGCCCAGGGTGAACAAGAGGAGCAAGGCTCCATTCACGAAGGGGTTAACCACCCCTTGTCAGGAAAAATGCAAAAAAATTAGTGGAGCTAGACATTATTAACTCCCTAAAAGCTTCTTCTTGAATAGTTGCCAGTGGGAAAGTATGTCCTTGTCTCGTCAGGTCCATCACCCTATCAACAACTTTTAGGCTGGTGGACGGGATGGAGAAGGCTTAGGGCAATCAGGATGGAGCACCGCTCCTCTCCTGGGCCATGATTCAACCCATCACAGCCCAGTAGGATGCTAAATTGAAACTTCACACTCAGTAAGTTCTCAGTAATTCTCCGGGCAGAAGTGCTTATCCTCACCATGGAGGTGGCCCTCAGACCTGAAGCATCTGAGATGATTGCAGAGAAATGGGACTGCCCTAAGGCTCTGAGCCAAGCCTCTCCACAGCTGAGCCATGATCCAGCACTGTCCTTGCTCCACCAGCAGCAGGTCCCAGGGCTTCTTGGGGGGAACCTTATCAATGTGCATAAGTATTTGAAGGGCCGTTGTCAAGATGATGGGACTAGACTCTTCTCAGTGGTACCCAGAGACCGGTCAAGAGGCAACAGGTACAAGCTCAAATACAGAAAGCTCTGTCTGAACACAAGGAAAAACTTTACTGTGAGGATAGCAGAGCACTGGATCAGGTTGCCCAGAAACATTGTGGACTCTCTATCCTTGAAGATATTCAAAAGCCATTTGGACATGCCTTGGAAATCTGTTGTAGGTGATCCTGCTGAGCAGAGGGTTTGGAGTAGGTGCTCTCCAGATGTCCCTTCCCATCTCTACCATTCTGTAATTCTCCATCCTTCCTGACCAGAGTGTTGTTGTCCCCAAGTCTCCCAGGCTGTGGTCTTGCAGCATTAGCTTGTAGAATGGAGATGCCCAGCACCAGGCACACCATGAGGTGAGCAACAAGGAGGGAGTCAAGAGGTCCTACTGGTCCTTACCAAGTGAGGATGCAGAGGGGTCAGTGTATTCACAGGCATTTTCAATGATTTCCAGAGGTCCCCTCCAATCTCAACCATCCAGTGATCCAGTGATAATTCAGGTTGAAAGGCGCCTCCCAAAGTCTCCCCAAATTGTCCTACAATCATGTGGTCCTCCCTTGCAGTCACACCAGGTTTAATAACATGGCAAAGTAAGAGCACCTGTGCTTACACTACAGGCTCTTTAGTGGTATTTTCCTCAAGGGAAAAGGGAAAGCACAGTTATGTTGTGCACTTTAAATACTTTTGACCTGTGGACTACGAGATAGCCCGGCAAAGCTGTGGCTGCATTGGAAATCCTCTACATTTTAATGGCTAAAGACAACCATGGTTTTGTGGGAAAATTGAGAGGAATCAGAAAACAGAATAAAATCCAAAGCTTTTTCCCTAAAGAGAAAAGGGGTCATCTGGGGAGAGAAACCTTTCCAGGATGCTGCTGGTATCAGGGGGAGGTTAACCTCTGTGAGTGATTTTTCTCTGGCTGGGCTCACTAGGCTGTTGACTTAGCAATATAAAATGAGGGAAGATGAATCTGGGCCTTGCAATCCAGGTCTGAGTATCTGCCCCTGAGCTCTTATTGTGACAAGAGCTAAAAAGAGAAGATAAGAAGAAGAAAAAAAAAACAAATTTCTTCTTTCTTAATTTTCCCAAGCTGCACTTCCCAGGAAGAGGTTAGTGTCTCCACAGTCTACCTTCCAACCTTAACATAAATGAGAAAATACTTTCAAAGTATCTTTCAGAAGCCTTCTGAGCAAGGACTCCTCAGGAGCTCCATGCTGAGCACCTCTCCAAGTGCTTGCTTCTGCAAGACTGTTTTCATTCATTGCTTTCTAAAGAACTTCTCATTCATCCAAGGTTCAAAGCTCCTTTATTTGGACAAACCACTTCAATAAGCCAGAATTCATACCAAGCTATGGAGAAAAAAGAACAGAAGACAAACACATTTCTTAAGATGAGCCCCTGCATGATTTCATATTGGATGGTCAAAATCCTTCATGACCTTAAATACCTGTGAATTCTTTTAGGATATGAGGCTGCACAGCAGCAACTTGCTACTGACTGCATGCATGTTGTATCTGAGTAATAAATATTACACACTATGCTGACTCTAGCAAGGCAAATAGCTGTTGTAGCTGTAAGACATGGAGGAGACCCCAGGCAATGAGGTAGTGAAGTTCAATTCACTCTTTTTGATGGTCCTTTCAATCATGAGAGCCTTCGTCACCCAAAAGGTTTCTGTGGTGCCAGCCTACATGCAGGCAGAGACTGAGCCTTTCCCATATCTTCTCCAGGATCTCAGAGGGGGTTTAGTTTGTACAAGTTAATGATGAGTAAAGAGAGCACATGGCCACCATGACACCCAGAAGAGCTGCGGGAT